TAATTCAGATATTCTCTCAAGCAGTCAGGAAAAAGCAAGTATCTAGTTTATTTATTCATTTAATGACGAAACGTAAAATTCAAAAGGTTTTGTTTTTAAAAATGTAAATATGACGGATATGTGGAAGGACAAGACGCCTATTTTCTGTTCAGTGCTGTTTTATGTAGCTTTATCTCATACTGTTGGAATCATAAACTCAGTTGTTGGTTGGATTATGATGCTGCTGCTGCTGCTAAGAAGTTGCTTCTTCAAATGCTCGTTTTCCTTTTGTTTCAACATTCCTTCTGCAGCAGGACCAGGAAAACCTGGATCAGTCCCAGTGCTCCCACTTTGTGTTTTTGGCACTTCCTACAATGCACAAAGCAATAAATACACCCCCCCGCGTGTGTGTGTGTGTGTGTGTGTGTACGACTATGATGATCTGATGGAACTGAATGACTGGTGGTTTTATTGCCAGGCTGTCTGCCTGCATCCAAATACAAGGTTTCATTATGATGATCATAAATCTTATTAATGCTCTCACACTCATGCCTCCATGCACAGGGACAACCCTCACAGAGTTAATGATGGGAAGTAATATCCAATAGTTTGTGGAAAAGAGCTCCAGTGTCAGTTTTCCTTATAAACAAGGAATCGGAATAAACAAACAAAAGTTTGTCCAAAGCACAAACTGGGAAACACATTTCCAACCTTTCTATTGTCATTGTTGAAGCCCAAGGAAGGCAGTGAGCAGGAAGCAGTTTTGTTTATGTGGTCCTGATGATGACGATAAGAACAACCACTAATAACACCACTGATGTGAGACTGGGGGCCAGCATATCCGGTGTTTACGTATTTTGTTTGAACGTATCTGTTTCACTCGGTGCATTTAAAACAAACTTCGTTTACTACGAATGAAGCTCGGTGCTGCTGTGGCTAAGGGTAATGGGACCTCAGGGCAGACCCGGGTCCTGCAGCGAAGACTATATATCTCAGCTGGTCTGGTATCTAGAGGGATCTACAGGGTCTCGGGAGCTGGAGCGAGTGGCTGGGGGGGAGGGTGGGGGGTGGTTAGGTGGCAGGGGTGTCTATGTGATCAATAAATCTGAGCGCCTCGTCTCTGGAACCAACTCCCTCTAGAGTGAGAATGCCCCCCCCCCGATTTGAAATCACGCCTGAAGGCTCATTTTTATTCCTTGACTTTTACTTTAGCCTAGTTAGCCTTGTACTGTGTCTCTGTTTTATTTTTATTGTTGATTTTATAGTAGTTACTGAACTACTTTAATTACTTTCTTCCTGTCTGTTGATTTTATAGGCTCTTTCACTGTGTAGCACTTTGGTCAGCCTCGGCCGTGTAAAAATGTGCTTTATAAATAAAATGGAAATGGAAAAAAATGAAAAAATGTGATCCCATGACAGAAAAAAATATTGGATGGATGTGACTCTGGACCTGTTTTGATATTAATTGGACTTATTAATGGGGATGAATTGAATTTCATTTAAAGTAACATAATTACTCTCTACTCTGGGGCAGCTCCTGGATCTTTGGGACTTGGAGCTCCCCCCGTCTCCTACACATCTTTGGGGGCAGATCTGTGGTCCCTCACACTCTCTATTGGACGCTCCTATAGAGAAACCTTACATAAACAAGCGTGTGTACACACACAGGTGCTCACATGGTGCTCTCATAAGTATGGGCTTGGGCACGTTCAACACATGTCTTAAGGCTATGGTTGGCACTAAATGCACTATGATTTATTATCGTGTGATTATTCAGTTAAACAATTTTGATTTTATCTTTCTTCATCAAGTTGACGCAGTGATAGCTTGCTCTTGTTTGTATTGTATACAAATGCTTGTGTTTTGGGGGTAGTTCTAATGATCTTACACATATGATGATTTAAGCAATGCACACAAACAATGGGAACAGTATTATGAATTCATATGGTGTAGAAATTAAAACAACCCATGAGAATAAATTATTAATATTAATAATAATAATAATAATCTGGAAAGCATACTTAAGCCATAAGCAAGTTAGTATTGACTAAATGAAAACATATTCTGGACCAAACATCTACATTTTTAAATGACTATAGAGGTTTGGGGATAAACATGTAAATGTACATTATCATCATTATCAATGTTGCAAAAAAGAGCCACGAAGAGAATTCAGTGACAGAAATCATCCAAACCTGCTGTTCTTAAAATCTCTCATATTAACATTTTCTGCTCCAGTTGATTTTCAGTCAGCATAAATAATGCGCTGTTGTGCTCTTGTTGGTTGTGTGATGCTGTGTGTAAATGTATTGCATGTGCAGCAAAGTTAGTGCTGATGTGTAGGACTTTCATTGGTTAGGATAAATAACCTGGTTGCTGGACGTGAAGAAGGCATCAGACTGACCAAGCCTCTTCTTCCCACTTCTTTTGAACATGGCGGTGTAGGGTTGGCAAATTGAGTGCTTTAACAGCTCAAGATACACACACACACACACACACACACACACACACACACACACAC